ATCACAGGTGGATGTTAGCATAGCGACATTGTCAGCCCAGTCGAGAACAGGGTCCGACAGAATACAATCCTGTCGGACGGCAGGCTGAATACCGGGTGGATGGTGGATATTGCTGTGGACCAGAACGCGCACAGTAATGGAGTAAAAGTAGGCCACATATCACCTACCTCTACCATCTGCCGCAGGGACTCACGATGGACGGAATTGAACGCTGTCACGAAGCCGGTTGGTAGCTATGGTATAGTTCGAGGGTGTGCGGCGGCGTGAACTTCCGGTCCGCTCATCCACGTCCAATTCGGTATATGGTTTAATTCTCGAGTCACCCACGCTAAAACAGTTTGAGAACAACGATAGCGAGGACCCTAACAACAGCGACAATGCGATGTACAGTAGATATGCTATCTCATGAAATGTTGACTGACATTTCGAAACGTCTTGCCAATTCCGAAAGACTACTTAAACAGGGTCATCATGCTGATTATCGTGTCGCACAATGATTAAATATTTCGGTAACATCAGGATGCCAGCTTTCGAATGGTTTTCTTATCGGCCGCTTGCATAAACTTTATTTCGTAAAAAACGACTACTTAAGCAGCATGGATCACCCTCATTGATTTTAGTACCCTTACAAACTCAAATATATTTCATGGAGAACATGCACAAGAATATTGTTTCTTGTACTCATTTAGTAACAGATTACGCCTCCTTCAAATTTTTTGCACGAAGAGCGTCTTTCGGTTCTAAAAAAAGTTCCAAATTCCCGAATAATTTTGGACCCGACCTGCCGTTACACTTGCATTCAGGGTTTCCAAACCACAGGCCGAATACTTTTCGTGTTAGGAAAACCACTCATTTTTCTATGCTATAAAAAAGAGGACAGATAGGGCCCATCGAATTTTATAGTGGGTGCGGGTCACGTTATCCAGTTGATGAGCGATAGTAATTAAAACGCTGATGCGATGTTCAGAAGATTGGACGCTTTACGATCTGGAAAAGCCTCGGTCAGACTTTTTCAAAAACAAAGGACACTGTTCCCTCATGTATAAAATTTGAGGACGTAATTTTCTACCAAATGAGTGAAGAAAGAATATTTCTGTGCATGCCCTCCATAAGACATATTTTGATTTATCAGGACATTGGGAACTTATGGGGAAAATTCATACTACTTAAATGGTCATTTTCACAGTGTAGTTGACGCAGGCGGCCGGAAAGAGGCTCACTGAAAAGCCGGCACCCTAAGGCGACTGAAATGTCTCGGGATTATGCCGCACGATAGTTAGTATTACAACATCCCCTAAGTTATCTTTTCGAATTAAAAACGCATTTCCGAATTTCGGTCAACATTTCATGACATAGCAAACCTACTTGTGCCGCGGTGGTCTTGGCACTTTGTCTTGTTGCCTTCTAGAAGACAGCCAGGAGAATGGCAGAGCCCCAGCCCTCAGGAACGAGGTCACCTTTCCACGATTTCCCAATTACTTCGTGGAACCAAGGCGTCAGTGTCCATGCAAGACTTTCAGGCCACATCGGGAAGGCTTAAGCCAGGCAGACTGTTGTTCTCAAGTCTCAGTATTGAACTGATAGTTCCTTCCTGAATAGGGGTCACACGACCGTGCAGAGGCCGGAGAGCAAAAACTCCGCTGCGAATATAGGCGACGGGCTAGTCGCCGAAGTTGAGAAGGCACGTTAGGCGCTCACGCCAGCGCTTGATCTTGGTCGAGTTGTCGGCAATAAGGTCCCCATCTGCATCGCGAACAGCGCCACTTGGTGAAGAGGGCTTACCATTAATTTAGAGACTCAGCTGTTAGTTTCTGCGTTTCACCGATATTTGAGACCTGCTCCATGGCAATCTGTAATGCAGACCAATTGTTTTTGCGATCGTCATTGCCGAGTGCTGTCACTTCGAAATTGGCAGGAATCATTGTGGGACCTAGCTCGAGCTCTTTCAGCAGTCGACAATTATCTTTGAGCTGATCAAGCCACTGCGGCGTCATTCGGTGGGTCCCAACATTCGTTTAGCTGTCCCGTGGACTGCAGACCACTGATTTCCGCTTGATATTAACTGCGGCCTCGAATAGCCCTCGAGATCAGTACCTGATTTCTGCACTTACCCACGGTTACGATAAATTTTCGCACTTTCGGAGCACGGCGGCATCGTACAAGATAGGTCTGGAGCGTTCATGACAGGTTAGGCTTCAAGCATGCATCTGCTTCAGTGGTCGCCAGAACGGCCGCAGGTGGTGCAGCATTGATTGGCTACCGTTCAAGTGATTCTGTCTCCTCTGTCTTTTGATTTGGAGAATCTCGTGTTGATGGATGATCGCACCTCGACATATGGTTTGACCCACGAGCGTTGCCAGATTCGGCACCACGAGTCTATCTGCGATCATGAACCCAGTTACGAAGACTTGGACTGTTTAGACTGTAGTCAGTCTGACTTGCCGAACGGCCATCGTTTGTGTACTGATCCAGTGGATGCCTGTTGGTCCTGCTTAGAAATGTGAGCACTGCTTCATCATTTTGCATCCAGAATTAGGCACAGGGCAGTCAAAAAAGTGGTTTAAAGAGCTGCCTGACCTAGTCCTCCCATTCCAGTCAGCAAAATTCAACAATTCACGGCCGGAATCTTTTTAGTCAGTTCCTGAAAGAAAGTGGCAGGTTTTTCTATCGCATCAGTCGGCGGCTGGTACCGGGAGAAGTGCGTGTGCCGTTATACGTCAGCTGGCCAGCCGTTGGCGGATTGTTCAGCAAATCCCTGGCTAATGTGCTACGAAGGCAATCGTCATATTGTGCCTGTCAGATTATTCCCGTGGACTGTTGTTGGACGAAGTTGGAGTTGACCCGCGAGATTTTCGTTTTCCGAGCACCCGAGCCGGAGGTTGGGGCAGACAGCAGACATCCATTCGTGCTGAAGACTGCGCAAGTCTGACTTTGGATGCCATAGCGGACGGACGCTCGCATATTCCAGCACACAATAAGAGAAGTCTGCTCTCGACTGAGTAGTGTAACTCGCATACTGTCCGCCCGCATCACTGGGACGATTACGTGGGGCGTCAGCGGCCACATCACACTGACGTCATAAAGCTTTGCGTAATTTTATGGAGAGTTCTGCGCGTCAGACCCTAGCGCTGGCAGCGTCGTTTCTAGTTCGAAAATGCCTACTCGTCAGATCAAAGGGCATGTTTATTCCGCGGGTTATCTTCGCTGGGAGGCCGGCCCACTCTATCTGGGGACGGCAGGATGGCCAGCAGCCATGCTAGCGGACAAGCCTGTTTTCCCGTCTTCAGTGTTGGTAAACAGTCCTTAGGAAGAACACGCTGGCATTATTATCCGCAACAAAACTGGTCGTTAACCTTTCAATATTCGACAAAAGGATCAGTTCATAAGGGATTCCAAGGAACGAATATGCCGTCCCCAGTTTGCCGGGGACTGAACAATAAAGGCGGCGGAGGCGGATATGCAACGGGGCCGGGTCTCTTCGTTTGCAGATGCGAAAACTTCGGAATGGCTATTGACGCGAATCGCCAAGCAAGATTCGCACCAACTACTGTGGCCACCCTCGTCAGCTACTGTGGGTGGCAAATTTCAAGGAAGACGGGAACTAACCGGACTTCCGCGGGGAGCTTCGCAGCATTTTTAACATCAAACCAGCGCTGCATAAGACAGGTGTTCTAATAACGCCCATTTGCAGAGCAAGAAACTGGGCCGTATAGAAAAACAACTCTACCAGAGTCGTTTCCGGAGAGCGACGCATTGACAATGCCCTGGGGTTAGCTAGCAACATATGCCCCGTTACGATTTTGTCACAGACCTACATAAAACATAGCAGTAACGTGATGAGCATCCGCCAAAACCAACGAAAGCAATTTGACGACGCTGCGGACTCCATACAAGTGCAAGGGTGACTCCACGAGGATATTTCGGGAGTTTCACTTGTATTCCATGCAACTGAACCCTAGGAAGCTTGCAAACAATCGGCAGACATGACCTTCAGTGGGAGAAGCAGATGCCATTTCTAAAGCCAATCTGGTGCAGGGGAGCCTCATTCGCCCTGGGGAACACATTCGAGTCCGTCACAGACAGCACGCCCCCAGCGCTCACTAGCCATCCCCACGACTATTGTCACAGCGAATGAACGTCCAGGCCAGACAACTGTTCGGTCATTTCTTCGTCCACGTTTACGCAACATATCTCAAGGCCAATTCCGCCCCATAACAGGTAGAGAAACTAACCTGTCACCATTGACGGACACTCGGGGCAGTGATACGACCCCTCGGGCACCTGCAATAAAGCACTTTCTTGGGCGCTCTTCCCTCTACAATTGGTATAACTCTGAGTAAAATATACGACCCCAAATAATTTCAAGTAATCGCTCTGCTTCAGGACGGCTCGACCCGAGCCTAGAACGACCACAGTTACATAACAACGTTGGTCACCGAATAGTACTGTGGTTACGACTGGTATAAGTGAAACTTTGACGATCATGGAAGCAAGGTGCAAATGTAACTTTCGACTGTAAGACATTGGCTGAACCAGTTGTGGATTGGATGATGGCTGAGGCCGATTAAAGCGGTTCAGGCCATCGATACAAACATGTTTCGGCGTTAGGTAGGAACATGAAAATAACGTGTGTGAATGACTCAGGACAATCCAGAAACCAGCCATCGGCGTAGAAACCCAGTAGCAAAAAATGAAAATACGCCCGCTTGTGACGCGAGACAAGAGGAAAGCGAAACTCACGGATACAGTAGTATTATACACAAACTTGCGTTCAATAGAAATATCAAATTTTGGATGTGGGGCAGTAATGAAAAGACCGTAAAAGTACGAAGGTGATAAAAATAGCAGGATCAGATGCCGATACTTCCAGCCAAAGCGGGAAGTCTAGGGACAAGCGGAGAGCAATCTTTGAGTAACATTTAAGTCGATCAACGGATGCTCAATGAGAAAAATGCCATACATGTGGGGGACTTTGGAGGGCACTCCGCGTAGTAAGTCCATTATACTACTGCTGCTGCGGCGCCATCAGAAGTCTGCACAGACGGAGTCTCGACCGGTTGAGTTGTCTCAGTAGCAGTGCTGGCAGCAGTTGCAGTCGTATTTGTACTGCAACTGGTACCTGTATTGGAGTCACCACGAGTGTCTGGAGTGTGCCACGTCAAACGCTCCTCGTAGAACCGGATGACCGTCTGAGGGCATTTAACGTTGGCTTCCCTTGCAGGGACGAGGTCAGCTTCGCTAGAATCTTTCCTGAAAAAATAACGCAATCAAACGTCCGCACAGCAGCGTGAAGAGCACAAGTGCGTCCGAGGACGAAGTCAGCACGTATCAACTTACCACTTGATAAGAAACATCAGCTCCCCACTGGAATCCGTAGCACCGATAATGCGATCTGGTTTGAGACCGCGGCTGAAGCCTCGGGCGGTCTTCGAGGGAGTTGCAGACTAAATGAACAGAGGGACTTTTATGGAGGAGACGTGAAGGGCAAGGGCATGCAAGACTGTTTTGAGATATATCGGCGTAGCTAATGATTGCGGGCGCTAAAGCAGGATTTAACTGAAAATGTAGCGTAAAACTGAAAATCATGTTGGCCAGCTGAAGAGAAAAAATGAGTACGCATAGTGAACAAGGACAAACCCTTGGTAGTCCACAAGCACAACTAAGGAGAGTTTTGAAAACAATTGGAATGAAAATGATAGATTACAGATCCAGGTTACTATAAACCTTAGGAGTTTCCTCGGCAGATTTCTTGGATTCCGACGCCGAATCTTCATCCTCCCCAGCGGATGCCGAAAGTCGGCTCCTCTTTTTGCCTTTTGCGGGCTCAACAGTCGCATCTGATGAGGACCCCGGGGAAGCCGTGGATGATTTGCCACGTTGTCTAGTAACTGCGCTTGTTGACGGACGTGAGGGCGTAGTTGGCCCACGTTCTTTCTTCATTCTTTCTTCAAATTCCTTCAAAAACAGATGGAAGCCGAAATAATGGGGCCATCAAAGGAAAACAGTACTCCAGAACCTGAGTCAAACAGAGTTGCGTTGTTGCTGCGGCAAAAACGGCACCAGATGCTATGCGCTCATTTCATTACTGAAATGACACGTGCCAGAAGCTCGAAAAGGCTGGGCGAACGGTAAGCGAGAGGCGAGGTGCAACCGATGTAGAAAAGTTAAGATGGATCCAAGCTAAGCAGTGTTAATGTGGACGGCTGGTGGGTACGGGGAGGGCGGGACAACTAACGCGCAAAGAGGTGAGACTCACCTTAATCAGATCCGGACAGTCAAGATTCTCCTCGGGCTCCCAGGTATTTTCTTCCTCAGGATAGCCTTTCCATTTTAGAAAGTACTCTTTTCGACCATTGCGAATGCGGACTTTGGTTATACGTTCGACCTGATACTCGTCCTCCGCAATTTCATCACTATCCTCAGAATCATGCGCATCTCCCATAGCGGACATCACTAAAAGCCAATATGGCAGCCGAACGGTAAACGCGTGAGCGTCCTCGCATTATAATTGGCTCATTCAAATTAATGGTGCTGGCGATGTTGGATATACCAAGAATTCAGTATCTGTCAGTTGCAGGTTAGTGAGTCAGACTCAAAGGTAACTAGATATCCGAAGGTCAATGATTCCTCAAAGATCTTTATAGATAAGAAACTAGGGAAATTTACAAAGATTGAACTTACATGGCAACGTAAACAAACAAGTGTCACCTCAGGGACGTCGACGGACATACTTGGCACCCTTACTACCAAAATGGGCCATCTCATCACATGCTCAACAAAATGGCAGCTCGGCTAATCATTCACGAGCCCACTAGGATACGTCAGACACAGTTGCATAGACAATACATCAACTAATGCGCTGACGAGTTGGCAGCTTGTTTTTATGACCCACGAAGGCTGCGACACGGGATGACCTCTCCACTGTAGAGGAAAAACATAAATCTATAACATATCGGCATTCACCTGGGCGGAACTCATTGTGTGTGGTCACATTTGACGAGATAATCTTGACTGTCACGCTTCCGCTGGGTTGCGGAATGGCGCCAATCCCCACCCCCACAAATTTAGCTAAACGTCATTCGACCCGGCCAAGCGACTTATCTTTAGAATACGACTGACCTTCGAATCAGGAGTGCAAAATGTGTCTTTAAAAATTCGCAGTTGTCCACAATTACGTCAGGGGTAGCTCCCGAAACAGAAATTCCATTATCTATTCTGAGCACCCGTGAAGACCAGGAAATCCGCGCGGACGAACCAAAAGCAAGGGCAGCCAGAATTAATCCTCCCGACTTCAAGTTGGGGGAAGTTCTAGCGACTGTGACTGCTTCTTTATAGAAGGCCGCTGTCGCTGAAATATTCAAAATCATTGGATAGAGAAAAGGTACCGTAAAAATGCCGGATAACCTAACCGCTATCGATGTTTTCCCGGGCAGTTTGAAACGAATTTTCGTCGGCCGTCTGAAAATCCACTAAACGAATGTGGCCGAAGTGTCTCCGCGAACGATTACAGGCCAGTCGGCCTCATTTCATTCTGACGCAAAATTACGGGAAACATATCTAAACCAGTGCTAATGCCATTCCAACAACGGCACGCTCTTGGCACTGATGTCCCACATGGGTTCCGTGGGATAGGTCTTACGTGACAAACATGTCCTATGGTTTAGAACGCTGGATTCGGGTAGTTCATGAAGTAGATACAGCGCATGCAGTCTAAGTCAATTTTAGCTGAAATTCGATAGCATTTCGTAATAAAGTATGTTTAGGGTAATAGGCAATACCTTTGAAGGCCTCATTGAAAACAGTACATAAAATATTCATGTTCGAAAAAGCATGTCACGAAAATGCTGTTAATAACATACACATTTTGCATAGAGCATTTTAACAGAGTGAGACTGCAGCTCGAGCACCCTCAGTTATTTTTGAAGGCTACGGGCCGAGTCCCAGATTGTTCTTTTCATGTACGGTTGAGATTTTAAGTGCAGGCATATACAGCCAGCACCAAATATAGTCATTTGTGTAGTGCACTGGAATTACTCGTATCAAACGTGCAGGGATGCGTTCCATAGGAAATGGAACCAGGAGGGATGTAACTTTCATGGCTGACCGTAGATAGTCCTGCAGTGAGCGTCATTGATTATCAGAAATTAAACAACCCAACTGCCTTTTGAATACAACCATGGTATCAGTTTTCACAATTTCACCTGTGAGTGACTTCCACGACCTAACTATCAGCTGACCGAAAAAAATACTCTGTCCGTCTGGCGCGTACATTCGCGATCGACCTTGTACAGTTGAGCGTGCAGGTAAGTTGTATTCGTAAACTCAAATAAATCTTCAAATTTGGGCGGGAAGCCGTACTCGCTGTCAATGGGGGTGTCCATAGTAGGTTGCACCTCAGTTATCTACCGGATATGGGGTACAAATTGAGCTGGATCAGTCTTTCTGGAAATGGCAGCGTCCTAAGACCGTCAATCAGTATTGTCGTTCTTTGTTGAACCGTCTTGATGGGCTCATTCTCTCGTTCCATCCAGTGCACTAATACTGGCATTCTGTGTTCGAGATGCGGTCTGATGAAAACGTCAAATATCTGCGCGAAGAGTTTGGGAGGAAAGACTGTAAAATCACGCCAACTCCAGTGCATGATGTTAGCTGCCTTTTGAATGACTCTTTTGCAGTGATCGGAGGGCAGCAAATTTGAAATGGTCCAGATGCCCAAATTTGTATGCGTATCCACCTTTTCCAGTGGAACCCAATTAATAATGTACTGGTGTTTTGGGAAACGTCTCCGACGAGATCCTAAGAGTTTGACCACACATTAGGGTAGATTAAATGCTCGAAACCACTTGCTGGACCACGCAGACAGGTAACTGTCGTTTTCTTGCAGTTTCTGCGTGTCGCCAACACTGGCAACTATTTCCCAGAATGTAATATAATCTGCAAACATAATGTCATTAGAGCCAGAATGTTTAATACAGTCATTTATGTAGAAGAGTAAAAGGATCTGACCCAAGACCGATCCCTGTGGAACGCCGCATTCTACTTGCGACAATTCAGATGCAGTGGCGCCAACAATTCCTCTATGCAGCCTACATGACAGAAAACCTGTCATACACTTAAACTTGCATCATCACGTCGTGCAGATAGAATGTCTGCCAAAGCCGAATAGATATGTGGGTTCATATAGCGTAAATTTTCGTTCCGGAAATGGAGCTTAGACTTTATCGAATATTTGTTCCTACTGCCCTCGAATACTGCGGTCCTTTCGTTGGTTTAAAGAACGCCTGCGACCGTAATAAATCGAAAAGTTCCAGAGATCTTTCACCCGGAAACTGTCCTCTTAAGTCGCATCCGAAATTTATTAAACGCAGAGATAAAGTTTTTGTGGGTTAGAGCACTCGAAGCTGGCCTTTGCTTCCTTTTTCGCATCACCTCTCGCTCCAATGTTCCGCTCATTTACACTCCCACTCTGAGAGATCGGTCTTATGCAACGCGCAACTCCTCCATGGCGATTCCGCCGTCTCTTTGCATTACATCTAAGCGCTCCCTCTTCCTTGCTTCCAAAGAGGCTTTCCTTCGGAAAAATCTTCCGCCAGAAATTAGGTCATCGCCTAATTTACTGGTATTTAAGTCGGAATAACGCAAACACCTTACACCAGAAAGCATAAGGGCACTGTTAACGGTCTCATTTCCGAATACTCAGGTTCTTGACTTCGAGAAGGATCCTGCTGGGATTTAGTGGTAGATCAAGTAAAAACCCTCACTTAAATCTTTAAATTCCCCGTTTTTAATTGTCTACTAAATCCACTGCTAGCACACCTCCCCCATAGCGATGATTTTCGGACTTATTAATGTCATCTCCTCATTTCGACTTCAAGCGGTCTGTCGACGCTCACGGCGGAACCCTCAGTATTCGCCGTCTACTAGTAGTTTGGTCGTACCTCCCCTGCCCACTCCTCGACCGGACCTGAAGCGTACTGTGGCCGATCGCGTCTGGGTTCCTCTCGTCTGGCCTCTTTGACGCGAATAATCTCATCCGGCGTATCAATCCTGCCCTGACGATGTCAGCTCCGAATCCCGTTTAGAATACCACATGCAGGTTAGTCCTGTCCGACCCACATACGTACCCCTGAAGGCTGACATTTATTTCTGCTCTGACGATGTCCGATTATAAACCGTTATATACAGCCACATGCAGGCCGGTCCTGCCTGCATTCTAGTCCTTTCATAAGCGACAGATTTTTTCTCCTGTAAAGTTGATCCAATCATTTTTTAATTTCCTGCTTGGCGTTTTATTTCCGTGCTCACACATTACTTTTCTTAACGGACCGCTAATTCAGAAACTCTGAATTGCATATTGTACAGATTCTGCCTACCTCGTCTAAAATTCATGTGAAAATTAATTTTAACTTGCTTTAAAGGGACCCCGAGGGGTCTTTGATAAAACAGTTTTACTTAGGTATTTATTTATTTAAAATATCGTTTGAAGACCACATTCTTAGATCTCTTGTAGGAGTCGCCCATGAGGCACATTATCAAACGGCCTTTTGCAGTCGAACAAGATGGTATCAAATGGATGAACCTCGTCTGTGGCTTTTATCCACTTCTCCAGCGAATGAAGACTACTCGCAAGACATGAGTGACCGCGACGAAACCCGTGCTGAGCAGCCCATGTTAGGCTCCTCTGTACATCAGCCAATTCTTGAAGCGCAGGGGGATGATTTTGATCTCGGCCAGGCAGCTTCGAGTCCAGCGGAGGAGGGGGTAAGGGAGATGAGACCAGACTACTAGTAGATGGCTAATACAGAGAATCCCGCCAAGAGCGTCGATAGAGCGAATTATGTGAGAGGCACGACGCTTGGACTGAAAATCGAAAAAAATAACATTTCTGATGACGGGTCCCAAGAAGCGATACTGCACAAAAAAGTAGGAAATGTGAGCGGAAACGGTAGTTTAATGGTGGTGTCCCCAATTCGCGGTATGCCTTTCTCGGTTTCATAGAGAAATTTGTCCGGGAAGGATCACTAAAGTGAAATTTTAATCGAGTCTGTATTCAGACAAGGCCGCAGCCTTCCCTTAAGGTGTGTACGTTAGCTGAAGGTCTTATATTTATTGGAAGGTTATTCCAGAGGAAATTATACCCGGAAGCGAAAAATAGAGAGCGCTTAGAGATGGCGGAAGCGGGAGGAAGTATAATGAAGGGAGAATTGCAAAGATTGTATGGGCGACTACTAGGGGCCATTGCTGAAATCCGAGGCGTCCGAGTTGAATTATCGTTAATGCAAAAGAAGAGACAAAAGCCTACTTCTAGTCTTCGAATCCATAAAAAGTTTAGGTTAATCAGCTGGTGTCTATCTGAGTAGGAAATATCTGGATGTTCCTTTGCTAAAAGGTTTCTAGTAAAATGCTTTTGAACATTGTTAATTTTTGAATGACTAGCCTCTTTCCTTAAAC